AATTTATTTTTTTAGAATCAATCCACTGGTTTCATATTGCATGTACTATTTTCACCATATGGTTATTATATTTATCATATGGACTACATATATCATTATCATATTGGGTATCGTTTATTACCATATGAAAATTTTCGCCATGTGTTCAATAATTGATAATTACGTAATTGCAGCTTTGTTAATGACTTTACAGAAAATTTGGACGACCCGGAAAATTTTCCTACTTTTAATATATACACTGTTAAAAAACTTTACTGTTTATTTTTACAAAAAAAGAGTATAATTTCAAAAACTCGCGTTAATGATTTGTTCTTCGAAATTTTCGGGTAATTACGCGTAAAAAAAAGACCAAAAAGTTATAAAAATGCTATCTCTGAGTGCTTTTTTCTCGTAGAAAAATATGTTTGAACATAGATATTTAACTGACGAAGAAATTGAGGATTCGAATAACGAAGAAAGTGGTAATGAATTGGATTCAATTCAACTTCGATCGGATGAATTTCGTGCTGAAACACGAATTATTCATAAAAAATGCTTAAATTGTGGGAATTTTAGGACTAATTTTGCATGGTGTCAATCTTGTGAAACTACTTGGTTCAAGGAAAAATATTCTAGCTGGACCACTAGTAATTTGCAACTTGATTTAATTATACAAAAAAGTCAAGCAGAAGCAAGTATAAGCGGCGATTATCTTGAATATATTCCTTACGATCAATTTGAACTGGTTGAATTCCACAAAGATGGCGCATTTAGTGAAATCTATTCTGCTATTTGGTTAGAGGGACCTAAGTGGGATTGGAACGAAAACACTCAAGCTTGGTCTCGGGGTGGACCAATAAAAGTTGCGCTGAAAAAACTTAAAAATTCTCTAAACTTGAGCAAACAATTCTTGGAAAAAGTAAATTTTATTTCTCATCTGATAAAAACAAATTTTAAGAATTATTAACAAAATGTTTCCTTTTTATGTTAGTTACGAAAATATCATCATTGTCTCCAATCAGGCAGTGTAGCTGATACATTTGGTATTTCAAAAGATCCAGGTGGATTTTTCATATTTGTGATGAGATTTTATGAAAATGGCGATTTAAATCAATACATTAAAGCAGTTAAAGATATTAGCTGGAAAGATAAAATTGATTTATTACTGCTGGTTTAGAAAACATTCATCGATCTAATCTCTATCATGGAAATTTACACGGTGGCAATATAATGATTGAAGATGAATCAATCTCGACTGATGGAAGAATAGCTGATATAGGAATTCATGGATCAGTTGATACCCCATATAATAATGAACTGTATGGTGTTATTCCCTATATTGCACCAGAAATTCTTCTTGGAGAAAAACAATCAAAAGAGGCTGATATTTATAGTTTTGGCATTATTATGTGGTCACTTGCAGCTGGACAAAAACCATTTGCTGAGAGAGCACATGATGCTGTATTAGCAATAGATATTTATAATGGAGTTAGACCAAAGGAAATTGAAAACACTCCAAAATGTTTTTCTGATTTGATGAAAAGATGTTGGGAATTTAATCCAAAAAAAAGACCAACAGCAATCGAATTGAATGAAACATTTAGCGATTGGATAACCGATATATGTGACAATCCAATATCGACGGGAATCAGTGAGGAATTTAATATTGCTGAAGAAAGAAGTTGTGAAAATTTTCAAATACAGAAAAATGCATCACAAGAAACTCATAAAGATGCATTTTATACCAGTCGATTTTTTAATTTTCCAGAGCTTAGAGGAAAATTTGAAAAACTCGATTAATAATATCGTTACTTCAAAGATTATTACAGTCAAACCTCGTTATGGCTAATTAAAAGCTTGATATAACGATAGACTTATAAACTTTTCGATACAACAATTTTTATAATAAGTTCTCAATATAATGATATCGCAGAATTTCTTCTATTTATCCCATCATCGAGAGTTCAGCATATTTTCGCGATAAAGATTTTATTGAAGGCGAATTTTTCGATTCGGTTCTTTTTTTATTAATGCGGATTTTATTATGAAAAGTAAATCACCATCATCATCAAGTATAAATATATTTGTAAACTTCTATATTACATATACACATCGACGCCAACTTCACCATCCTTTCTAATCGACAACACCAACAAAAATTACGAAATCATCACCAAATATGCCAATGCTAACCAGTATTCGATTCGTTCATTTGACACCTGTTAATTTTTAGTTTTTTCGTTTTATTTATTCGTTTTTCGTTAATTTATGTTCTTTCGTTACATATTTGTTTTCTGGATTCTTTTTTTTTCTTTTGACTAGACAAATTTCTTTAAAAAATTATTATATTAGCTCATCTTTAAAGTATTGTTCTAAATTCTGTTTTTTTTTTTACCTAGGCAAATTTCTTTCGAATTTCGTTCTGTTCTCATTTCTGAAATTTTTTTTAATCTAGACAAATTTTACGATTATTTTAAAGCATATCATAGAAGTTATACATGTAAAACACTGCTTAATGCTAATTAGAATCACCATTGCAATGATATGAATTCAAGCCAGATTCGAATTAGTGTAGAATTCAAATTCATGATTTTCGATATA